GCTGTATAATACTGGGGTACAGTACTGGTGGGGACAGGGCTGCCACTGTATAACACTGGGGTACAGTGCTGGGTGGGGACAGATCTGTCACTGTATAACATTGGGGAACAGTGCCGGTGGGGACAGGTCTGTCGCTGTATAACACTGGGGTACAGTACTGGTGGGGACAAGTCTGTCACTGTATAACACTGGGTCATAGTACTGGTGGCGATAGATCTGTCACTGGATAACACTGGGGTACAGTACTGGTGGGGACATGTCGGTCGCTGTATAATACTGGGGTACAGTACTGTTGGGGACAGGGCTGCCACTGTATAACACTGGGGTACAGTACTGGTGGGGACAGGTCTGTCACTGTATAACACTGGGGTACAGTACCGGTGGGGAGAGGTCTGTCACTGTATAAGACTGGGGTACAGAATGGGTGGGGACAGGTCTGTCACTGTATAACACTGGGGTACAGTACGGGTGGGGACAGGTCTGCCACTGTATAACACTGGGGTACAGTACCGGTGGGGACATGTCTGTCACTGTATAACACTGGGGTACAGTACTCGATGGGGTCATGTCTGTCACCATATAACACTGGGGTACAGTACCATTGGGGACAGGTTTGTAATTGTATAACACTGGGGTACAGTACTTAGTGGGGACATGTCTGTCACTGTATAACACTGGGGTACAGTGCTGGGTGGGGACATGTCGGTCGCTGTATAATACTGGGGTACAGTACTGTTGGGGACAGGGCTGCCGCTGTATAACACTGGGGTACAGTACTGGTGGGGACAGGTCTGTCACTGTATAACACTGGGGTACAGAACTGGTGGGGAGAGGTCTGTTACTGTATAAGACTGGGGTACAGAATGGGTGGGGACAGGTCTGTCACTGTATAACACTGGGGTACAGTATGGGTGGGGACAGGTCTGCCACTGTATAACACTGGGGTACAGTACCGGTGGGGACATGTCTGTCGCTGTACAATACTGGGGTACAGTACCAGTGGGGACAGGTCTGTCACTGTATAACACTGGGGTACAGTACCATTGGGGACAGGTCTGTCATTGTATAACACTGGGGTACAGTACTGGGTGGGGTCATGCCTGTCACCATATAACACTGGGGCACAGTACCGGTGGGGGACATGTCTGTCACCAGATAACACTGGGGTACAGTACTGCTGGGGACAGGTCTGTCACTGTATAACACTGGGACACAGTACTGGTGGGGACAGGTCTGTCGCTGTATAACACTGGGGTACAGTACTGGTGGGGACGGGTCTGTCACTGTATAACACTGGGGCACAGTACTGTTGGGGGATTGGTCTGTCACTGTATAACAGTGGGGTAGAGTACCACTGGGGACAGGACTGTCCCTCTATAACACTGGAGTACAGTACTGAGTGTGGACAGGTCTGTCACAGTATAACACTTGGGTACAGTACCGGTGGGGACAGGTCTGTTGCTGTATAACACTGGGGTACAGTACTGGTGGGGACGGGTTGGTCGCTGCATAACACTGGGGTAGAGTACCACTGGGGACAGGACTGTCCCTCTATAACACTGGGGTACAGTACTGAGTGTGGACAGGACTCTCACTGTATAACACTGGGGTACAGTACCTGTAGGGACAGGTCTGTCGCTGTGTTACACTGGGGAACAGTACTGGTGCGGACAGGTCTGTCACTGTATAACACTGGGGTACAGTACCGGTGTGGACAGGTCTGTCGCTGTATAACACTGCGGTACACTACCACTGGGGACGGAGCTGTCACTGTATAACACTGGGGACAGTACTGGTTGCAGACAGGTCTGTCACTGTACAACACTGGGGTACAGTACTGGTTGGGGACAAGTCTGTCACTGTATAACACTGGGGTGCAGTACCGGTGGGGGACAGGCCTGTCACTGTATAACACTGGGGTACAGTACCAGTGGGGGCAGGACTGTCCCTCTATAACACTAGAGTACAGTACTGAGTGTGGACAGGTCTGTCACTGTATAACACTGGGGTACAGTACCGGTGGGGACAGGTCTGTCGCTGTATAACACTGGGGTACAGTACCATTGGGGACAGGACTGTCACTGTATAACACTGGGGTACAGTACCATTGGGGACAGGTCTGTCACTGTATAACACTGGGGTACAGTACTGGGTGGGGTCATGTCTGTCACCATATAACACTGGGGTACAGTACTGAGTGGGGACAGGTCTGACACTGTATAACACTGGGGTGCAGTACCGGTGGGGGACATGTCTGTCACTGTATAACACTGGAGTACAGTACCGGTGGGGACAGGTCTGTCGCTGTATAACACGGCGGTACACAACCACTGGGGACGGGTCTGTCACTGTATAACACTGGGGTACAGTACCGGTGGGGGACGGGTCTGTCCCTGTATAACACTGGGGTACAGTACCGGTGGGGACGGGTCTGTCCCTGTATAACACTGGGGTACAGTACCGGTGGGGGACAGGTCTGCCACTGTATAACACTGGGGTACAGTACCGGTGGGGACAGGTCTGTCGC